ATAGAAGAAGCAGCAGCACTAGCAGTGGCAGTGGCAGTAGAAGCAGCGACATCAGCAGCAGGGGTGGTAGTAGTAGTAGTAGTAGTAGTAGTAGTAGTAGTAGTAGTAGTAGTAGTATAGTATAGTATAGTAATCTGAGTACTAATAGTACAGAAGTATGTCAGCACGGGTTGTGCAAAAGGAGGTTCTGCATTGGTCTTGCAACTTCTGGATGCAGAGGCCACGCTGCAACTCTTGGACTCTGGACCTCCGCATCAAATCACTTAATATAGGTGTCTTAACAAATTAGGATAGGGTATTGGCTATATAATGAAATAAAGTATATGGGTATCATAAGGTACACTAAGGAATAATGCTAGTAACCATTCTGGCTTAGTACTGTATTTGGAGCAGAGAACAAATACCGGTGAGATTCTTGATTTTCAGGGTGCTACTAGCGGCTGGTGTTACAGCTGTTATAAGGTACCACACATGATGCTGCTTAAAGTGGACATGCGAGGTCACCTCCATAAGCACCACCGCGAAATCCACGACGAAGACTAGCAACGATCCTACACCCGCAACTCAAGCGCTCTCCCTTCTTCTGCCCAAGTGACCCCTAATGCCAAGACATATATGAGAGCTGCCTGGACCCCAATTGGATTTCATCCCTTTCAGAGACTGGTTCTAGGTCGCTGTAGGTGTAGCTCCACTCCAAGGAACGTCAGGCTTTTACGCAGCATACCTGTTGCCTCAAATCTCTTGGATGCCCTGGCGCGCATGGGCTGCAATCGACATCCTACACCCGAAAACGCACAGCTACATCCGAACCCCAACCGTGAAACACAACCCTTAGCTCGATGGCCTGCTTCATGAAGTTCATACAAACGCGATGCCCCTGCCAGAAATGCCGGAAAGTCCTGTCTATCCAAGAGGCTTTGAAACTCAGAGGGGAAAGGTTCCAGCGCCATAACGTAGGCCAAGCAGTCCTTACCTGAACTGGCACGGGCGTGTTTTGTTTTCCAGCCCTGACCTTGCTTCAGTTCGGAAAAGACTGGTGCTTTCCACAACGAAGAGCCTGGAAGTTCCAGCGCCGACATACATGGATCATGCAAAGGAGGCTTGTTTCCACAGGAGGCTTAAGGTTCAGGGTTTAAGTCTTTTTGTTTCGGCACTCACACTCGGACAATCCAGGCGGGGCATTTTGGTTTAGGGTTTAGGCAGGCGTCTCCAAGGAGAGTTGGTGCGTGAGGCCTACATCTCGAAACGAAAAGAGACCCGCCTTCTTCCAACTTTAGCATGTTCTTGATACTGAGTCCTTTTCACGAACCTGCCCTGTATATACATATACACATATATATATATATGTATATATATACATATATAGTATATATATATATATACATACACACATATAGTCAGCACCAAGACCTGCAAAGGGGCCATGGGTTAACCTCAGAGGGAAGAGACCACGAGTCTCATGCAGGCGGGGAGGCTCCCCAAGGGATTTTTTGACACTCACACTCGGACAAGCCTGGCAAGGTCCACCTTTGGGGATTAGGTCGACGGATCGGGTTGAGGGTTTGAGGGTTTAGGCTTCGGCTTGGCTTAGCGTGTAGATTTGGATCTAGAGCATAAGGCATGAGGTATAGGGTTCAGAGCTTAAGGCTATTATACATTCTCCGCTTTGTTCCCAGAACTCATAACTCCTCTTGGAATCGCTCAGGCAGAGACTTTACATGAACCTCGAGCCTCGAACGATGATCCGCGCAGCATGAGCTCTGAACCCCAAGAACACAAACAAAAGGGAGCTTCTAGTCCCCTTTAGAGGTTTAGGGTTTAGTGGTTTAGGGTTTAGGGGTTTAGGGGTTTAGGGGTTTAGGGTTCAGGGGTTTACGGTTTAGGGTACCCTAAACCCCCCAAAACAGTTTCTTTGCCCTACAAACCCCGAACAAGGGCCCAGGGGCTGTTTTGGAAGCGAGGGAAGTCGTCGAAGGCATCTCCAGCCGGGCGGTAGTCAAAGGGTTGACACTCCAGGACGAAGCGCAAAGCATCTTCTTTGGTACCTGCGACCGGGCGAGTGAGGCCTTGAAACCCTTTTGCATCCAGCCTGCAAGAGCCTCTGCTGGGAACCTAACGAGGGCTTAGAGCAAACCTTCAAGTCTGCAATGCACCCTAAACCCTAAAACCTAAACTCTAACCCCTAGACCCTAAGCCCTAGTAGCCTAAACCCTAAAACCTGAACTCTAATCCAGGCCCTAAACCCTAATCTCTAAGAATAGCCTAAACCCCAAACCCTGACTGCCCAAGCTGAGGCTCCGAATAGCGTTGGGGGTTTAGTGTTTAGAGTTCTCGGAAGCACCTCCTCCTGCTGTACCACCGCTGCTACTACTGCTAATGCTGCAACCGCTACTGTGACCTCTAGAGTCTCTAGAGTTTGCGAGAAGGCTGTGACGCTGACTGAGGCCCGTGCCAAACTCCTGCACCACCGTCCATTTAGTTCTCAGCTCGGACCTTGGCTGCGGAATGTCCGAGACATCCGGATTTCGGATTTCCGGTTTCGACTCTCGCTGTCGAGCGTCAGCAGAAAAACCATTGATCTCTGTCAATATATCCATTGAGGCGGTTGCTCACACGATGCTCTACACGAACAACAACCTTCGCGACCACGAGCATGACGAAGGACGCTAACGAATTCGGGTGTGTTCTAGTGCATATGGGGTCGTATCTGTGCTGGAGCTCAAGTTCCACATCAAGGCCCCTTCGTAAATGTAGTATTGTTACTTCTAGGATTTCAACTTGCAGAGAAAAGCCATGTTACTTAAGGGCTTAAGGGCTTGTAGGGGGTTTAGGGTTTCTGGTAGAGGGCACGAGCGAACACAATTAAAAGACCCGTTTAAACTTCGTTTCTGGCCACGAAGTCTAATTCTGGAGTCGCGGAAGCAGAAGCACGAAGAAACCCTTTGATCCGCCCAGCGTAGCCACCAGCCCAATCCTATGCAGAGTCGAGAGCAAGCTGGCAAACAGGAGCACAATTTTGAAAACCCTAAACCCCTAAACCCCAAACCCAAAACCCTAAACCCTATCGCGACTTTCGGGCCTCAGCTACACCCACCCGCTTCTGCTTCCGAACACCGCCAAGCTCCTCATGGCCATTCCAAGAGATTCTTGCACCAAGGCACACTTCGAGAAATGCAGCATCTGCTAGCGCTTTGGCGGTTCTGTAGCCTGCAGGGCAGCAGCCGAGGCATCATGTGGGTAGTTCTCTAAATTTGGGTCCCTCTTAAGGGTGCTTTCTATAAGGGTGCCGTACTATTTTGTGGTAAACGGGGCCCTGCTTTAGAGAACCACCCATGCATGCGAATTCCAAACTTCAAGGACCCGAAGAATGACCTGCAACAACACGAACCGGTCAGGGCAAAGAGGCTGCAGGGCTTCATGCTGTCATAGGGACTTCTGGGCTACGGGATGGCAAACCAGGTAGGTTTTATATTTATATAAGAACCTTCCTTGAGAACGCTGCGCAGCGCCCGCCTGAGTCTGCCCTCGCGATCTCCAGAGCCTTGCTGGCGGCGCGAACCAACTTTTCCTTGGTTGGTCGGCGGAGGCGTGTGACCTGACCCTTGTTACACCCAGACTTGTACCTAACCCTTTAGCAGCGGGCTTGCCTCGTCGCCCGGGTCCCGAAGCTGAATCTATAAGCCTAAACCTGACACCCTTCTGTTGTGAGGATCTGGGTGAACATTCCTGTAGGATTGTTTCGAAAGGAGATCACAAAAGAATGAAGTGCGTGATGGCTCTTAGGGTTTAGGGTGGGTTGATCGGGGGCTTATCGGGCTTCGGGGACTCCAAAGTCAGTCGAGATCTGTATGTCGTCTGCTGCAGTGCATGCGAGGCGAACGTCGAAGGATGTTATTGCCGATGCCCGATAAACCGACACACCGTTCAGAACAACATCTCGAGGACGTTAAGGTGCGAAAATTCTGCTTGAAAACACACACAGCTCCCAAAAGCCATCGGAACCTTGTCAAACGGACTCAGATATTTTCTGAGTATTATATTCATTCTCACTGTTCGTTCAGTACGTCGGACACTACAGAATCTGGCGCTCTCGGCCCTCAAAATACCAAAACAACCTGAATCCGGAGGCACCTCCTTTGCCAAGGGGCGCTCTTCTTGACCCGCTTCTCTTTGAGGAGCTGCTGTTGCATCTGGACAGATGCGCATGATAACTCAAAGACCCTATAAACCCTTTTTTTTCAGCAGGCTTGTTGGTTCTCGCCTGGACAAGCTGTTCATGTTCGCCAACAGGTGTAGACGCACTACTAAGCTCCATAACCGAGTCCGGTAAGAAATGACGGAAGAAACCCTATAAACCCTAAGCCCTAAACTACTATACAGGCTAAGCCGAATCAGCTTTCGTACCCTTTGTGAACCTGCGGCACCCTGCAGCCCCTGAGTCGTTTGAACCCGTCACCCCGCTACGCGGAAAACGAAGCCGAAACTAACAATGATACACTACCCATAGGCCCCATAGTAGTTGCTTTTGGGGGTTACCTTAGAGGATTCTATATATGAACCCCAAAAAGGAACTACTTTAGGGCCTATGGGTAACCCTTTTGTAATCCTGCCCAAGCAATCGGCCCTCGTACTCTCCAGCATGGGCCTGGATCCCTCGCTCAACCATCGCCGCACGTGTCGACGGATCCGTATATGCTGCCGCCTCGAAGACCTTTGTCACATAAGAAAAGACTAACATAACATGATATGATATAACATCATACAACATAAAACTCCGTTTATGATATGAAAACGGAATATAGCATAGTCTGAATCTAGTTGTTTAATTCGAAGGAATGTGTTACCGCTTACTGCAGGCAAGGCTTTTTCCAGGAGGAACTCTTGAACAACTGACGACAGGATTCATAATTCCTACTGCTTCAATAACTCTCCAAGCCCGCCACGGTTTCGACTCTCACACTCGCACAAGGCTGGCAAGGCTCCGCATAGTTTAGGGTTTAGGGTTATACAGTATGGCAGGACGTAAACTCCGGAACCTATCTGTCGCAGGCTGTGAATAGCTTGACACAGACAGGCAAGCTTGACATAGATAGGCCCTAGGTACTCGAACCGGAACCTGCAAAGTGTAATTACCTGTAGCTTACTCTATTGTGCACAAGCACCCTTCAACCCGACATACTAACAAGAGATCTGGTAAGCTGCATTGACTCGCATCGCAGCTCACCTTAAAGTCGGTGTCTTCAGTCAATCAAAGCCAAGCCAACACTGCATCAATCCTCACATCCTACAGCAGACCGTGCATGATGAACAACCAAGAACCGTGAAACTCTGTGCTGATATCAACGGAATTCACGAATCAAGCATTTCGATTCAAGCAAGCAGCGGTCCGGATATGACTAGCGACGTCTGTGCCACTGGCCTTCCAAAGCCGGCGTGGAGTCAAGGCTTCAAGGCAAAGCTCAGGCTTCGGAGTCAAAATGTCGAAGCTTCAGCCCCGGTTCAGGAAGCCGTGCGGCAAAAGTGGCCCCACTCGATTGGCACGATGCTCGCGCGGCCCAGAGCTCCGTGCTGATACGATGAGCTGGACTGCTAGTTCCAATTCATTACCTGTGTCTGCGGCTTGTGGCGCGTAGCTCGCACGAGCATTGGCATTGCGGTCCCGTTGCTATTGGCGTGAGCAGCTTCGGTTGTTCTTTTCAACATCCGCTCGCGTTCCACTGCGACTGGTTGTGTTTCAAATTCCATTGGCAAGTGCGCTTGGCTCCTTGCACTTTGGTGTCCATCGGTGTCCACTCGACCCTGGCTTCGGCTTGTGGCTGTTTTAGGGATCAGGATTTAGGGGTTCAGGGTTTGGGATGTCGGGTGTCGAGGGTGAAATTCCCGCCTCAGCCCAGTTCTGGACGGCATCAGAGTCACCCTCAAAGAGACGAAAGGACTCCGCCACTTGCTCGTAGTAGCCTGGGAGCAGAACTTTCCTATTCTTCCCACATCCTACGCCCATGGACGCCTGCACAGCAAGAGTCCTGGCTAAACCGTGGGTTTTGATTGGAGGACGGACAACTGCCAGCGCAGAGGAAACACATGCAAGGACCATCAGAGAATAAGGAGACATCCAGAAACCCTGTAATATCGGGGCCTTAATAATTAGAATAGGGTTTTTGGGGCCCGTTCTACTCTAATTATCATAAGGAACCCCTAAAATAGTATCGGTAACTATTAAGGCCCCTATGTTACAACTCGGATGCCGGGCCTGCCTGGCCCTGCCTCATCATTCTCAACGCAAGCCTGCTCCTGGAAGCCGGGATGCTTCTCTAGGGCCTTAAAGGCTTCCTCAAACTGGTTGCCATAAAAACCCTAAACCCTTTTGCAACCAAAAGCCCTAAACCCCTCAACCCTAAACCCGGATTTCTTTAGGGTTTTTATGAGGGGCTTAGAAGGTTATAGGGACAGGGCCGTAATGGTTACAATAGGCTCTTACAGGGTTGCTTAGGGTTCTATACTGCCTTCTAGGGCCTAGGGGATCTATTATGCAGGGCCTTAAAAGGCAGGACAGGGTTGCGCAGGGGGGGGGGGTACCTGATAGTATGTTTTAGTAGAACCACAGAGGGGCTAAAATGGGTTTAGGGTTTAGGGGATACCATCTCGAGTTCTTGCTCGCTGTTAAGAACGCCAACGCAGCACAGCAACATCATCGAACTGGACTGTGCCTCAGGGATGGTAGAAGACTGCTCCATGGGGCTACATGTGGCCCTGGTCCATGGGCCACTTAGATTAGATTAGATTGGCTGAGCTTGCTGAAACCATCGAACAATCGTATCTGCTTCAGTGCAAGCAGCTGCGTGGACAGCATGGTGACTGCAAGAACAGATCATGCCAGCTACGACAATGTACTTAGAAATCATGCCGCGGAATGTAGAGCCAAGCATGTATCCCTGCCTACCTCGCAGTGGTCGTAGCTTTCGCTTGCGAGCAGCAGGTAGGTCGGGGATGGAAACACGAGTGCAAGGCATGCGAACAGTAAGTGGCAGCAGGTCTCAACAGCAGGATATTATTTAATCCCATTAAAGGCCGCAAACTTATCTAGTGATACACCCTGAAACCCTATTCTAATTATTGAAACTCTGCCCTCAGGCCCGCGACGGTCGGCACATCCGGGGGCATCGGTGGTGCCACGGCTTGCCTGAGTTGCTAGAAATCGGGTTTCAGCACTCGCACTCGTATTCTTGTTTACGGCCCCTTGCAGTTTAGGGCTTGCGACAACTCTGATAGTTTTGATAGTTGGTCAACCACGCCCCAACGCTTGACCTCTCACCTGAAGCTCCAACCACACCAAATGCGGAATCCCGAAGCCGAAGCCCCAACCCTAAGCCTTCGAAACGGGGGCTGAATCAGTGGAATAGAGTTTGGGGCATAATCATAATTAGTTGTACGATAACATATAAGGAACCCTAAGGAATAACAATACGAATTACTCGGTAATTGTTCGGGCCTTTATGGGAAACACGAACACAATCGTGCATCAGAAACTCTGCAACTCGCCCAAGCATCCCGACTGCGACACCCTCCCCACAGATTCTTCAACTTCATGAAGACCCGACGGTTCTTACCCACAATCGCGGACCCATGCTTCCCCGATTCCAAGCTCTGAAGCCTGCAAACCCTGACTCAAACCTGTACCTCTGACCCCTTAACGCTTTAAAAGCCCTGACATCCTAAAACCACAAATCCCAAACCAATGTAAACCCGAAACCCTGAACGCATCTAAAAGCTTCCAAGACGCAGTGCGGCTGACAAGGAGCCTCTCGCTTTCGAGCTTTCCCTAAAAAGCCCTAATGCCTATACCATACACATCTATATATACACATATGTATATATATATATATAGAGAGAGAGAGAGAGAAGGAGCAAAGACTGCATACATAAGCATGTGTCCATATACATACATGCATACATACATGCATGTATGCAAACATAAATACACATGCATATAATTCCGAATTGGGCCAGCCTTAGCATGCCGTACGGAGCTCAAGCAAGGTTTGAGGTTAGGCTGCTGTGCGGCCTGGGATGTATCAGTACCCAGGTCAGTGAAGGAACTCTACGATAATGTCTTGGGTCTCCCGGAGTCGACCGCCCTCATCAAGGGTAGTTCTCAAAGAGCTGACTGTGGGACGACAGACTAAATGCAACAACATACGCAAAAACCAGTACAAAGACCTAGAAAACACCAACACTGCCTACAAATGCAGGCCTGCCTCCTCTGCGGGCAGGGTTATGCATGTGCGCCCTCGGTTCGTAGTAGGTCGTAGTCATACACCGAAATCGGACCCAAGATCTGACAGTCTTCGGCCATTCTTCGACATGCGTCCCTGCAAACTCGCAATGCAAACATATGGGGGTTTCCGAGAATAGGGGACCCTAATATAGTACTCTAAATAAGAGGTTCCTTATTATAAGGACCCCAAAATAAGGTACCCCTACTTTTCGGAAACTCCCATATTATCTTACCTCAAACCCTAAACCTACTATTTAGGGTACTATATATACTATATTAGAGTCCCCTATTTTCGGAAACCCCCACATCCACCTCGGACTCCAGGGACTCCCACGGCTTAGGGTTGCGGAGGGGTACTGAGAGCTCTGCCGGCCTTGAAACTTTAAATTCTCGCTTACCCATAGGCCCCATAGTAGTTCCTTTTTGGGGCTCATATTTAGAATCCTATTAGGTAATATACCCATAGGCCCCATAGTAGTTCCTTTTTGGGATTACCTAATAGGATTCTAAATATGAGCCCCAATAAGGAACTACTATGGGGCCTATGGGTATGGTTGCACAAGTCACAATAGCACAGGCAGCAGCAATGCGGCAGGAGAGCACAGGGTTGTTCTGAGCGCGGCCGCGGAGGTAGCGGCTGCTGCTGTTGCGTCTGATAGAGTTTTTTTTTGCTGCAGACCTAATGTAAGTGCCAATAATCAGAATAAGGTAGTTTTGGGGTACATCATCCCACAGTTCTAACGAGGAACCTCCAAAGTAGTATTGGTAATTACAAAGGCCCCTATATAGGGGTGTCCGGAAATGGGGGACCCTAACATAGGCCGCTAAACAGTAGGATTCTTATTATAAGGACCCCAAAATAAGGCACCCCTTGTTTTCGGAAACTCCCATATTATCTTACCTTAAACCCTAAACCTTTTTTTTCACAAGGGACTCGACTGCCGCCCTTACTTACCCTAAACCTAAACCTCCAAAACCCCGAAAGCCTAAACCTCCAAAACCCAAAACCCCCAAAACCCTGAACCTCCCAAACCCACAACCCTAAACCTCCAAAACCCAAAACCCCCAAACCCCCAAACGCAAAAACCCTTAACCTCCAAAACCCAAAACCCTAAACCCCCAAAACCCAAAACCCTAAACCTCCAAAACCCAAAACCCTAAACCCGTTTAGGCCCCTAAGCCCTAAACCTACAAAACCCTAAACCCGCTTAGGCCCCCTAAGTTATGTTCCCGACAGTTCTTAGCGCTCCATCCCTGCGTTGGCCTCCCGGCCCCTGGACCACAGCCTCCTGCAGAGGTCAGGGGGACTACGGAAGAGCCACAGTTTTGGTTTAGGGTTTAGGGTTTAGGGTTTTAGGATCGGGGTTTCAGCACTTACACTGGGACAAGTAGGTAGGCGAGGGTACGAGTTCCAGTCGAACAGGCACGTTGGCCCTGAAGCAGTCAAGATCCGGGTTTGCGCTCTCACAACTGGGACATGCCACGCCAGGATCCATAGTCGGAAGTCGGTGTAACACAAAACATACCAGTAGAGGGTTTAGGGTTTAGGGTGAAAGGAATACGAGCTCGTGCCCTAGGGCACACGTAGTGAAGAAAGGGTACGGGCATGAAGTGAAACTTGGCTGTCGGACTCTTCTGCCCTCTGCTCACTGGGCCCAAAGTACGGGAAAGACTCGCACCCTACTGCCTTCTGTGTGAAGGGAACTCTGTCCCCCTCCTAGCTCTCATGTCCAGCTTAGGTATTCATTCAGGAACGCTGAACAAAGCCTGTCTTCGAAGCAAAAACTTGCAGGCTGTTGACTAACAAGGAAACCATGCAACGCAAGTTCCAGCACCCACCCTAAACCCTAAACCCTTTTTTTGAACGAGGTCTCTCTGAAGCCTAAACCCTAAACCCTAAACCCCAACCCCCACGCTCTTTCGCAGAATGCCCCCAGTTGCAGTAGGCTTATACCTCGTCGCCCTGGAGCTCCCTCTGCCCCAGAACGTGTTTCCCGAAGGAAAACGCCTCACTCAAATGCCTATTCATTTAGGGGTTTGGGGTTTAGGGTTGAATATGTTTTCATGTTGATTGTTGTTTTTCTGTTATTCAGTGATTATTCAAAATATTGTTATGAAGACTCGATATCCAATACAGAAGGGACACATCTCCGGTGATTCTACGCATTCCTCATTCCGCACAAAGGCTCACTGCTTCTTGTAGGGCCCCTCATGTCGTGACAACTTCCGTTTGGCCCGGAAAATCAAGATCAAAAACATGAAAAAACTTCGCGCTGCCAAATCGCCTGCAGTGCCGGGCGCCAGGCTGTGTACACCCGACACTGTTACAAATTGGGGCCACTCGTCTAGCCGTGACCAAAGAGATGGAATTCGCTGGGAAGTAGCCTGTTTCTGCTTCTTGTTCTGCAGATGCCTCTGGTCTGCCTCTGCCCCTGTCTGTCTGACTCTCTCTATGTCTCTGTCTCTGTTTCTATTCCTTTCTCTGCATCTGCCTCTGACTCCTCTTTGTCTCTGTTTCTATTTCTTTCTCTGCATTTACCTCTGCGTCTGCCTTCTGCCGCTGTCTGTCTGGCTTTCTCTCTGTCTCTGTCTCTGTTTCTACTTCTTTCTCTGCATCTGCCTCTGCGTCTGCTTCTTTTTGTCTGACTCTCTCTCTCTCTCTCTGTCTCTGTCTCTATTTCTATTTCTTTCTCTGCATCTGCCTCTGCCTCTGTCTGTCTGACTCTCTCTCTGTCTCTGTCTCCGTTTCTATACTTCTTTCTCTGCATCTGCTTCTGCCTCTGCGTCTCTCTCTCTCTCTCTCTGTCTCTGTTTCTATTTCTTTCTCTGCATCTGCCTCTGCGTCTGCCTCGCCCCCCCTGTCTGTTTGACCGCTCTCTCTCTCTCTCTCTGTCTCCGTCTCTGTTTCTATCTCTTTCTCCGCACCTCCCTCTGCGTCTGCCTCTGCCCATGTCTGTCTGACTCTCTCTCTCTCTCTCTCTCTCTTCTTTCTTTCATAAGGCGTAGGGGACTGTTT